GTGGAGGAAGTTGCGGTAGACACATTCAAGCAATTTCCCCTCCATTATCCAGCTTTTAAAAGATGGAGGTTAAACCATCTCGGCAGTAATACTTTAGGCGAATCAGGAGATATAGTCGAATCAATGATATTTACCGCCTCAAGAAATATGTGGTAGGCTCAAATCGCTTTATTGAATTATAAGGTCTTTATGATCATTATATAGTACAATAGTTTTAAGTATTACTTCATTCGAGGCTGTCCAATTGTGATCTCATTTGGCGATTGTAACATGATGGGCCTTTTAAGTAGGTTACTTTGTAATTATTTAAACAAGCACATTACCATTCAAGTCAATAATAATAGCAAACTTTTTTGATGTTACCCATAACTTTTCTATAAAATAATGGGTTAAGTTCAAATAATATTTTACATTAGACTAACTGGAAGTACTTTTAATAACTTTTATAAAAATAATTATAATAGTCCGCGCCCTGGTGACTGTTAAATAAAATATATTTATTTGGACAGGATTAAGAACAGCTATGAGGAATTATAACAAAGCTATTTTAAATTGTTACCTAGGAGCTAGGGATTCTTTATGGTCAAACTAAAAACTTATGCTGGACTTCGATAAGAAAGTAGCATAAAATTATATAAGTATTTAGTACATAGTTTTCAGTTGTAAAATGAAGAAGAATTATGGAATATTGTAATATAAAATGTAAAATATATTCTTCTTAAACATAGAGGTTGTGTTTACATATATCGAAAATACACAGCAAAAAATATATAAAACCATATCAAATCCCCACTGCAACCAACAAAAATTCTGCAATATTTTAACTGCACTTCAATATTCATTCCAATCTATTACCATTTAATACTATCATTATCGACAATGAGTATATGAACAAAACGACCATGTTTGCTGTTATCTCACTTAACACATAAAAATAGCATCAAATTTAAAATTCTCCGACTTTATTTTTTTAAAACTCTCCATACTCCTTTGCATTTAATAGCTTGTTACAATCAAATTCTATTTGCTCGCCTTGAATGCATGCATACAACCGTAAAATATACGCACATGTACACACACCCAGCCACACATGCGCATATATATTTCGCATTCAAACGAGCTCTCAAGTTCGGGAGTCTTAATATGCACTTGTGCTCCTCTCGCTTTTTATGCACACATTCGCCGGAGGCCATCGTTAAAATGGTATTTAGGTGCTCACATCTGTGTGCAAAACTGTCCGTAATACCGTTCAAGTCAATAATTCGATATCACATACATCCAATACACTTGCAATGCAGGCGGAGTTTCAGCCAAATAGTTAGTTGAGCGCAAAAATAACTAAAGTGTGTAAATTGAGGCCTGCGGGTCTGACTTTTGATACACCTGAAAAATGTCTTACTTTAAATATATAATATATTTATTATATTTATTTTTTTTACACTGTACTAGTGTAGTTAAGTCGAGTAAGATCCCACTTAAACAATGTTTTATTTTGTCAAAAAATGCGTAGAAAGCTTATGAAGCATTAATAATTATATTTAAAGACATAAATAGACGCATGAAAGTTGGATTAATTTTGTAGCAATTCAGCAGCGGTTCGCAGATGGAAATTCGGGCAATGAACTTTTTTGCGTTAACTCGTGTGGCACCCATACCACTGCATCTTTATGAATCCAGCCTTACTTTGTTCAATGTTTAGCTCTTGGGCAAACGAAACAAAGTTCACATGGCAAACTGATTCTATGATTTCCATTATTGTTAAAATTTTTTTGACCATTCCTTTCAGAGCTTCGTGTTTCTTTGATATCAAAATTACCGAATCGGCGAAAAAAGAAAATTGCGTATGGTTGGCAGCTACAGTATCAGGACCATAAACACTAAATTTGCCTTATCAACGAAAAGTATGTCATTGTTGCTTTCCATCTTTTTCAAAATTTTATTAATAAGTCACCTGCTTTGAAAAATAATAAACATATTTAATCAACAATCAGAAAATTTACTGAGTCAAATTAAAAATTTTCAAACTTAAAATAAATTTCCGTTCCTTTTACCTGTTTACACGTAAGGAGGTTGGGAATGTATACGTACTATAGTCGGTATAATAAAAAAATTTAAGTTAAATGTTTGCTACCAGCTCTATAGAGTAACAGAGTCTTTTTTATTTAAGTGAAAATGAAACTTTAATTTTTATTATTATAAATGTTATTCGTTTTCATGGAATCGAGATATGTGAATTATTGTAAAATAATTTTTGATGATTTTCACAGATACTTTCCCTGATATAAATTTTTTGTCAATATACTTGTATTATCATTACCAAATTATTATTCTGCGAATTTAGTGGTAACTTTGACACCCAAAACTTCTTTGCTTTGTCTTCTCCTTCAAGATATGGGATTAAAATTTGGTATACAAGCTTTCGAATATGTTAAGAATCTGTCAAATTATGTTCGATTAAACCACTGTAAGATGTAGTCTTCATTCAATCATTCCTTCAAATGGAATATTGTTCGATAAGAACCATAGATTACTCGCTAATATTTCAAGTAGACGCCATTACCAATTTATGGATTAGATTTATCTATGCCAAAACGTTAAGTTTGCCGAAATAAAGCAAACCATAAAATTCAATGCTAATTGAAACTTCAAAACGTTTATGCAGAAACTACAATTTGCAGACTTTTATGTGCACACTCGTTTGTTTGAAAGCATAGGGGTATAAAGCAAGTAGGTGAGTGGATCTAATAAAACGCAAACTAGATTTCTACCACTTTGCTATGCATACACACGCATAATATATATGTATATATATATGTGTGTGTGCAACTTAAATGAGTTTTGTTCATTTCGCCTTAACGAATGCCAACTGGAAGCAACCTGTTGCACATTCATTCACCAACACAAAAGCATAATGCATAAATATGCATACACATACATACACATTTACATATTTACGATTATATATTGTACTTATGTATGTATGTGTCTGGTGGTGTTGTTGTGCTCATGAGTTGCTCACAAATGTCTTATGAGCACGTTCGAGTACTTAAAAGCATGCTCGTAAATTTGTTTTCGCTGAAGAGCCAACTGCATAATGAATCAATGCAAAATTCTATAAGCACACACCCATACATACAAATACATTGATACGTATATACATATATAGATGATTGTTTATATGTGAGTGTGCGTGCATGTGTTGTGACCGCCAACGCTACGAGTCGGTCGTCAATGCTATGAATGGTCAAGTGGTAGCAAATGTGTTACCCACCTGCCAACGGTAATTTCTTTTATTTCTTCGCACACAATACAAGGCCATGGTGACAATGAGCAAGGCATGAGCACCAACCAACCAACCAACCTCATACATATACATATATATATATTTTATTTGTAGAACATACAGGGAAACGATCGGCGTGGCGTTTCAACCTTTCCGACCAACCTTACGGTATTGCGGATATTGATTTCAAGGTACAATTCAATTTCCCTCGACATTCGAGGAATTTTATGGTTTCAGTAAATGGTGGCCTAACAAAGTCATACATACATACATACATATATACAAACATGCATTCATTAAAGCACCTCATGTTCTTCGATTTTTCGATTTTGTTTTGTATGTGTATATGTTTATGTGTGTGTATGTTTTGCTTACCGCGAGTTAAGCGAGTTACCTGTGAATTCATAAAATTTTGTCTGGATTTTAGTTGAATTCGGTTCGGATGCTGCTATTTATCACCTCAGTAAATATACATACACATGCATATAAAAATATTACGGTTTTGCTTTTATGGTAAAAGTTGTGGCAAAGTTGGAACTGACTTATTACCAATTTATAATATTCAGTAAAATTCAGAAGCTTCTAAAAATTTTATTATTTTACGATTTATTTCAATTAAAGAGAATTTGAGAGTATTCGAACTTATACACATACATATATACATATTTATACTCTTAACAGGATGTATTAAATTTGGCACGTATACGAGTATATAGTCACTATAGTCTGTCTGTCTGTACACGTACGTGAACTAGTTCTTCAGTTTTTGAGATATTGATCTAAAATTTTGCACACGTCCGTTTCTCTCAAATTGAGCAGCTCTCATTAGTTTAAGCCGCCGATATGTAACTCCTATGGCATATGGCTGCCGTACAAACTGAACGATCAAAATCAAGATTTTGCATTGAAAAATCTTTTATCTGTCAAACTATCTTACGAAATTGGGTATAAATTATTGTCCAAGCAAAGCTTTAATTTCCAAAAAAAGAAAAGCCGGAAATATTTTTTTCCTCATTGGTAGTTTGGATACGATTCTAAGAGATGTCACCTTTAATAGATTATATATAATATACTTTGCATTTATTTTTGTAGTACAACTCATCAAAAATTTGAAGAAGTTATCAAGGCAGCAGCTAAAAGCCTCACAAACTTTGGTATCTGGTATCGCATCTATAACAAAACTCTATTGAAGAAGTTATACCTGAATAAAACTATGTTAAACTGAGCTTTCCTCACATTTTAGTTTCAGCCCTTCAAAGTTTTAGCATCGAAGGACTTATGATGGGCCTAGTAAACTCAGAACCACTATCTACGGTAATGGACTTCTGAACCTCTATATTCACAACATTTGAAGTGGTCTTTCAAAAAATATTGACTCAATAGCCAACCTTAGGCCATACAATTCGGAGAGCCCAAATCATTGGGAGAGTGTGGCGTAAACTCAAAGGATATTCAAACTCAGTCTTAATTCAACCACTAAATACCAAAAAGGTTTCACCCAATATCAGTAAAATCGATATGAAAATTAAATGACACTAGAAGAACCGCGTTTTTGATGCTCGAAGAAACTATTTTATGTATAAGTTGTGGGTCGTCAGATATTCTATTATGATGATTTTCAAAAATGTATCACTTAATCTTATTATTTTTAAGAAATATCCACCCCTCATATATATAAAAATGTTTTATTCATTATATTTTACTTTCTATGACTTACTCAGTTTCGTTATTTTCGAACACCAACTCTCCCTGCACTGGTTCGTAGTCCTTGCCTGCCTTGCCAGTACCATCCTCTGTCCAATACGGTATGATTACCTTCCCGCGAGCACCTGAATAACGTTGCACCTTCAAATCGTATGTGCCAATAGATTCAGCAAAATCATGCGTCTTCTGATTGAAGGCAAATATACCCGCATGATCATCATCGAGTATCATAACAGTGGCCACTTTTGGCACAGCTAGTATTGCCGGATCCGACGGATTACTTAAACGCACATAAAAATGTTCGTCTTGTTCAAAAACATCATCATCGATAACTTCAATTTTGAAGCGTTGCTCATCGACACCCGGCGGAAATGTGAGTACACCCTTCTTACCAATATAATCGCTACCGGCTTCGGCGGAACCATCTTCGGTTTGATAATCGACGGTCGTATAACCGGATAAATCACCGCGACGCACAACGCGCAACTCAAATTCACCACAACTCTCCATGACAGTGTAGTGGCCGGGCTCGAAGCAGATGCGTACCGTCGTATCATCGTCTTCGGCCTCCACTTCGACGCGCTGCAGCTGTGCTTTCACCTCATTGAGATCGGTGAGAGCACGCTCCTGCACTTTGCGCATTATATTGCCGCTGCCCATCATCTTACGGGTGGCTTGTATGCGATAGAAAGCGCGTGATTTGGGGCCTCGATTAATCAATTGCTCCTGTGCCATCATTTCTAATTGCTCCAGATCGCTTTGTGGGTACTTCTTACGCAGTTCTTTCAGCGTTGAAATGTATTCACGTCGTGCATCCTCGAAGTCTTTCATCTCTTCATTCTCGGCCAGCTCCTTGATGCTTTCATGACGATTCATCTCAAGTACGGCGTCGCCCTCGGCGCTCACAATAACGCCTCGCTTATTCATGCGATAGTTCTTGTCAAGATATTTATAAATCAACAAACGTCTGTCGGCTATATAAGCCGTCAGCACGGTAGTGGGGAAGAAAATGAATGTCAATAGACCCTCCCAGACTTCGACGCGCCCCGGTGAAATCTGCGCCAAGATCAAGTACAACCAAACGTAGGCAAACAGAGACCAAGCGGCCGTTACAATGAATACCCGAAGATGTTTGATCTTGCGCACTTGACCATTCGGTATGACGGCAATACAAAGGGCAATAATGACAAATAGGTTATAAGCGGCCGAGCCGACAATTGTGCCCGGACCCAAATCGCCAGCTTCAAAACCCTTCTGAAACATTTCAATAACGGACAAGAGTATCTCCGGCGCGCTGGAACCCAACGCCATCAGCGTCAAATTGGCAACGGTCTCGTTCCAGACGCGCACCACAACCACCTGTGTTTCGCCGCCCTTTTTCTTGATAACTACCTCCTTCTCCTTGGACGTGATCACTTCAATCGCCGCCATAAAACGATCTGACACAATTGAAACGCCAATGAACAAATACGTCATCGCCAGGAAGTACACAAGGCCCCGCGCAACGCGATCGCCGGTACTCACATTGTCAATTGGCATCCAAACTTTAAGCACCAGACCGTCTTTGCATTGCAATGAACTGCCGCTGTGCTGCGACAAGGCGGTAACATTATCGCCATCATTAGCATCATCAGCATTACCATTATCATCATCATCATCATCACCATCAACAACACCGTTATCATTGCTACCAACAGCATCATTATTATTATTCTGATTTGCTTTCGGTGTGTCACCGCCAACGTCTGCCACGTCGCCTCCACCACCACTACCGGCACCGCCGGCTTTAGCAACAGCACTCACGTCCGAGTTTGCCCCCGCCACGTCCGTATTACGAGTCACTTTATCATCATTTGGTTTGTTGCCAACGGCATCCAAATTATTGATGCTACCGTTGTTCGGCGTCTCAGCGCCGTAGACAAGTCTAAGCGTTGTTGTGCACACCAAGAGCAGACAGAAGATCGCCAAAATAGTGCAATCGCGACTGGATCGCTGTCTATTTACCATAATTAGCGCCATTTTTTGTGCTCGTGTGCTTTTCTTCTTCTTCCTTCGTTTGCGTATTGGTGTTGAAGTTTCTTTTGCAAATTTTAAACGCTCCGGACACGATCTTTCGCCATAAGTGAAGTAATGCTGCGTAAAGCTCTCGCAATCGATCGTGCCAACTCAACTACACCAACTTGAACCGTCGTTTGGTGGGTTGTATTTCGTTGACACCGTTGTGGCTCGCAAATTGGACGGTTGCTTTGGACTTTAGCGAGTGTGTTCAATAACTGTTTCGTGGCTGTGTATATGTGTGGGTGGCTTTGTAGGCGTGTCGGCAATTGTTGATGCTGTGCGCGTCGGCTCACTACAGCTTTGAAGTTGATGATTGCGTTGCTACTCCTTTCTAAATTAAGCGTGCGCTCAGTTTGTCAATTGAAGCGTGATTACGTGAGTTTATCTTACAAGCTGATGGTTCTTACTCACTATGTCAATATGTTATGTAATGCGGTTCTGTGCTTATATGATGCCTTGCAGCTGTCAGATTTCAGCTTTCTTTCGATTTATGTACAAAACTGCATGTGACGCAATGAATATGTGTACTTTGTTGTTTGAATATTTTTACGCTTTTTGTTGTGTGTTAATTTTCGCTTTTCATATTTTCTTAATTGCTGAGGTCTCTACTAGGAAGCTCGTGCTTTGTTGCTATTTATGTATATGTATGTATTTGTAAAGTATTTTGCGTACTAGTTAGCGCTCGAATTTGCCCTTTCGTTTTAATTAACTAATGCTATGATTACAATTACTTTATTTATGCTATTTGCCTTAAGGGTGTGTGTATATCGATTATATATATGTCAATATGTGTTGTTGTTTAGTTTTTTTTTATTGCATAACGCTTCTAATGCTGCTTCTACTTAATAAAAATATTTATACATATACATATATATATATATATATTTGATTTAAATTTAAATTTATTTTTGGACTAATAAAGCATGTGCGCTTCACCGACTGCCTGTAATCGTTCTACTGTGCGAATTGTGCTGCACTAAACTACGAAGCTGCATAGTTGTTGGTTTTGTAGGCTTTTTTAATGTAGTATAGGTGTATATTTGCTCTTTACACAGCTAGATTTTTAATGAAAAATTTTTACTTTTTATGATTCGTAGGTATAACAATGACTTTTTGCGATTAGAATTTTAGTTTAAAGAATTTGAAAGAATTTAATTATATAATTTCGTTTCAAGTTATTCTAAACACACTCTAACATTTCGTAGTATAGTTTTTTTTGCGATCGGCGCTTGGCTTTGTCCGTGTTTGAAAGACTAGCATCGCTGTTGTTGTGTTGCCATTGGTTTGGTTGTTTAATTTATGGTCGTTCTGAAAGTAAAGAGAGAGAATTGAATCCTGATTGAGATGAAATATGACAAAACTTGTAGAATTTTTCAAAATAATATGTCATTTGATGTAATAACTGGTACTTTTTGTAATCAAAAACGCTAACAATCGTCAAGGCATATTTGTAACAAATTCCGGCTGCCTTGGCTTTCTGTATATGAGAGTTTCGATGTATCTTTAGGTGTTTTTGAAATTACAAAGGTGCAAAAAATCTCCCATAATCTTACTTATTCTTATTGCATCCAATCTCATCTAACCTACTACAATACCATGTACAGGTGCATTTCTTATAGTATGAAAGGGTACACCTTAAACATTTTTTGTTCTGATTTTGATCGGTCAGTTTTGTTGGAAGTTATTAGCTATACTGATCTGAACAATATCTTCCGAAATTGTAGCAATGACTTGGATAATAAACAAATTTCTTGATAATAATGTTGTTACTACTAATCCTAAACTACAAAATTCCTTGTTATTAGATGGAAAAAATCTGGGTTTGTTTCAATCGAACCCAACTAACGTTAGAACGCTGGAGTGAATTGATAACCTAACCAATCTATCAAATAACTATTAACCGCATCCCTGGAGTTTTCTGTAAAAATATATATATATATATTTCACTTTAGCCAGTTTCAATATTATATCTTTAAATCCAGAAAGGATATATTTACTCTCCGATCTATAGTATTTCCTTAGAGAGTAAAATTCTGTCAATACGGGTTTGTGAATCAATATCTTGTGTACGAGTATATTATATTCTACAGAAAAAGTTTAATACTTGAAGTAAGACTAATTTTATTTGTACTAGTATTGTCCTAGTCTTCTTTGGAAAGCTCAATAATAATTAATAAGTTCATTTTATTTAAATTTGCCATATACAAGTAGTTAAAAAAAAATTTTAATATTTTAAATAAGTATCAAAAATAAATTTAATTTTTCAGTAAGGCCATCAATTTTTAATCTTTTTTGAATAAATTTTATAAAATATTATAAACTTTCTTGCCAGAGATACTTATACTATGGCTGATATGCTACCTAATACAAACCACTTATAAAAGTATATATGTACACATGTATATATCAACCCTTAAGATAATTATAGTACCTCGAAAAACTTTCCCTTTCTTTTATTTCTCTTTTGATTTTCTTTTTGTAATTTTTCCCTTTCTAAAAAATTACTGAATTTATCCGCATTTATCTGCAGTGCAAATCGCTTTTAGTTTCCGTCCAGTAACCTCTTGCCTCTATTATTTTCTCAGCTAATCGAGCATCAATAATGATTTCTTAATTATTACATGACAGTGATAGTGTAAACAAAATTTATGAACACAAGGGTAACGGCACACAGAAATGCTACTGTATGTGTATAGACAGAGGTATATGGATACACATGCTTGCGGATGGTGGAAACTAGTTTAGAATAAAAACTAAACTAATTTATAATTTCGTATTGTTTACAGATCGCGAATTGGAGCTAATTTAGAGGTATGCCCTTAACAAACATATGCACTTACATATAAACGAGTTTATATTGGAAAATGCAATATAAATAAAAATCATTTCACTCGCATGCACCTAAAACACAACAGCCGATTTAGAAATATATCTATGTATATGAAGGCAAATGAGATGTTAAGTTACAGGTGAATCTTTTATAGCCTAAAAGGGTACACATTAAAATTTTTTTGTTTTGATTTTGATCGGTCAGTTGGCAGCTATTAGCTATACTGATCTGACCTGAACAATATCTTCCGAAATTGTAGCAATGACTTGGATAATAAACAAATTTCTTGATCTGAACAAGTGGTAATCGGAAGGTGCTATGTCTGGGCTATAAGGCGGTTGAGGTAGAACTTCCCACCCACAGTTTTCCAAATAGTTTTTAACTGGCCTTGCAACATGTGGCCGAGCGTATCATGATGAAAAATTATTGATTCGTGTCTGGTCGCATATTCTGGTCGTTTTTCCGCGATGGCCTTTTTCAAACGAATCAATTGTTTTCGGTAGGGGTCCCTATTGATCGTCTGACCCGATTTCAATAGCTCATAATAGAGCACACCCTTGTGGTCCCACCAAATACATAGCATAACCTTAGCACCATGGATATTCGGCTTTGCCGTGGATGTCGATGGTTGGCCGGGCTTCACATACGATCTCTTGAGCTTTGGGTTATCATAATGAATCCATTTTTCGTTGCCAGTGACAATCCGATGCAAAAATGACTTATTTTCTCCGTCTAAGTCGAAATTTCCACTTTTAAACCATGCAAACCACTTTTGGCACGTTCGTTCGGCTAAAGCATGGTCACCATAAACGTCCAATAAAATACGATGGCTTTCGGTAGCACTTTTCTTCATGTTAAAGTAATGAAGAAGAACTCCCCGCAAAAGCACTTTATCTGGTACAAATTTCGACATTTTCAAATGAATGAAACAAATTGTTGTTCACGCTAAAACAAATGACATCTACTGAAAACGACGCGAAATAATACTAGTAGAGCCCTATCTTAGAAAACCGCACGATACACCCAATATATGCTATAGTTGTCCGATCTGAACAATGTAGATAAGTCTTAAGTAATAATCTCTGCCAAATTTCATGAAAATGCCTAGATAAATAAAAAACAAATAAGGAGGGGCTTAGTTCGGGTGTAACCGAATATATTATACTCTCGCAAGCTAAAGTAGACTGGATTTTCGTATATATTTTAATTAAAAGTAGGAGGTATTGCATGCGATCACAGGCAAGAAGATACACTATTATTAAAAAAAGATTCTTTCGAAATTACATTAAGGTTTCTTACATATTCACCGATAGATACGGTATAAAGATAACCGGAAATATTTATTAGGCATAAGGGGGGATACGAGAAGTACTGACCCGATTTTACGATTTTTTGCACAAGGGCATATATTCTCCCCGAATTTCAATACTAGAATTCACAGATTGATGTCTGTGTATTTGAAAAGTTATATTCCGATTTCGACAATACCTTTTATGCAAAGTTTTATTTTGATAACTTCACTGATGTTTGATTTGTACTACTTGTATACTGGAAAGGGAAAAAATCAAACGGAAATTAAAGTTGTGTTTAATGGGAAGTAGGCGTGGTTGTTACCCGATTTCGCTTATTTTTACAGTATGTAACATCACAAATAAATTTTGATTGAAATATGTTAAGTAGTTTCTGAGATAAAGGATTTCACCTAAAAGTGGGCGGTGCGGTGTGTATCTTAATTTAGTGCTTAGTTGTGATACTTTATAGCTTTTCATTTAATCGCGTTTTGTGGGCATGGCAGTGGTTCGAATACACCCATCTGCAATACCAAACCCATCTTGGGTGCCAAGGAACATATGTACCAATTTTTATTAATATATCTAAGTTTTACTCAAGCTAAGGCTTGCACGGATAAACGGATGCTTCGTCACCCTGATAATTTATAACATATATATATATATATATATATTTAACTCCATATCTATCTCGATTAGTTTTAGGTGATACAAACAACCATTAGGTGAACAAAACTATTATACTCTGTGCAACATACAAGGACTTGAGTTTGATCAGTTAGTTGTTTGGCAGATACATATGTTATATGCGAACATATAGTAGTCCGATCCTTAGATAACAATATCTGCCAAATTTTTTGAAAATACCTCGTCAAATGAAAAAGCATTCCATATAGTTCAATTTGTATGGCAGATATATGCTATAGTGGTCCGATATCGGCGATCCTACGAAATGAGCAGCTTCTTGGTGAGAAAAAGACTTGTGCAAAATTTTAGACCGATATATCAAAAGCTAAGAGACTGATGGATAGACAGACAGGCATGGCTAAATCGACTAATCTCGTCACGCTATAAAGCGAACGAGGCAAAGTTCCCCAGCCGCAGTTTTCCAAATAGTGTTTAACCGGTTTTGCAACATGAGACCGAGCATTGTCATGATGGAAAATTATTACATCGTGTCTAGTCGCAAATATTAGCGACTGTTCGGCAATCGCTCGCTTCTATTTGATGATCTGTTTTCGGTAGGGTTCTGCATTAATGGTTTCACCCGATTTTAGAAGCTCATAATATATCACGCCTCTCTGATCTCACCAAATACAGAACTTTACTATGGAGTCATAGATAGAAATGAAATAATAACCAAATTACGCCATCTCTTGGCGAATCTCACGAATATAGTTATAGACCCATATTAACTCGTGTTTGAGAATATTGAAGAAATAAGTTATTTGTTATGGAAATATGGAATATCAAACCTATAGAAAATATAACCCTTAAATTTTTTTTATAGCTAAAAATAAGATAACATACATATGTATGTTGCCTACATTTGGGAGATCCTCTTTATAAACTGAGAGATCAAAACTCGGTGCAAATGGTGAAGGGATGTTTCAAAAAGTTCGTTAATGCAATTAAGGTATGTATCATATGTTTTTGTTGCTTAGTTAGAGTTTATATCACACTTCTCTTTGAAGAAGTACAAGCTAACGTTCCTGCTGAAATTTAAGTACCATTAACTGCACGTCGAACAACCTATAATATAAGATTACGCTATTGAGGTTTGGTAGGGCTGATAAATGAACTTTATATATACAGCAATGTTAACAACATCTATACACACTATGAATTTGTAAACGATCTATGGAATGTGCAAGGTGTGCAACAAATGAGTTGGGTATAAACAATTGGGCGTGATGTGTCCGCTGTGTAATGCGCGAGTAAGTGATATAAAAATTGTTGCATTACTGAGGTGTAAATGTGGTGAAGCCATCTGCAATAACAACTATTAACTAATATTTATATATGTGGAATAGGTACGTATACACTTTTGCATATATTCCTAACAGTATAATGCTAGTTTTGCGTCACTTTATTTTTAATTTTACTTAAATCTGTGTTACGACTCAAATCCAGATATGAGCAAGCATTGACGCGCAATTGACTGTGAAAAAGTGTAAAAATATTTTCTACTGATGTCATTTCGTCTTAAATTTCTTACTCTTTATGTCATAAGCCTAGTATTATTCATCAAGCTAAGTACACTTTTAATGCATTGTGTCTATTTTTATTATCTTCCACTGTAGCTTTATATTAATGAGACATAATTATGACAGCTACAATAGTAACAAAAAGCATAAGCTAAAAAGGTATTAGTAAAACAAGACTCATTTGACAATATAAGACGACCGTTCTCTAGAAAAGCGGCCGTGATATGGCAGGTGACCTCCGAGACAACCAGACAAAATATTCTGATGAAATCTCAATTAGTGGAGGATTAAAACATCAAGAGGTATTACTGGAAGAAGCTTGGCCTAGCAGCTAGCAATGGTCTCAAAAATATTATATAACTCTCTAGAATACACGTCTATATATAATTTGAAAATATTACTTTTTTCTACTTGCAATATATTATTTTGCTTTGTTATGAGCTCTTTTCAATTTTCTTACACAAATATTGTACATTTGAGTATTGAAAACGAACTCATATTTTTCCTCACGATGCGAATCCTCACCCTGCGTAATAGTATCACCCATAGTTAATAAGTTATATGTATAAGAAATATGAAATACGTGGCCCACATTCTGGAGCAAAACACACTTACATTTGTACATGTAAAATAATACCTATTTAATATCCCAAAAGTAAACAACTTCATTAATATATATTGTATAAAATATATATCCTATAAAAATTACTCACTTTGATTCTCTGATTCCAACCCACAAGATACTAGGTGCCAGTAAATTATTTTTCAAACCTCAAGGAAAACAGGTAAGAAATAGCGTTTGCCAGAGTATTTAATCGACTTGGCCTAAGCGATTTTTAAAACCTTTTTTTGCTCAATAATGTTGTACAAGCGATTTTCATCTTAATTTGGAATTGAAGAGAGCATTCTTACTTTGTAATTACGGTTTTCTAAAAAGTATCATACTAAATTAAACTAAGAATATATGTTTATCATATAGATAGAAATAGATAATATACACAGACATGCATATATATGTATATGTAAATATGTGTATGTTAATAAAATAATTTTCATTGCTGTCTTCAACAATCCCAGTGTATCATAACAGATGACTAACATTTAATCACAATTCCGAATAAAACAGTGTAATTAAAGACTACGTCTGTTGCAAGCCACGTACATAAGCTATAAACATGAGAGTTTTTAATTAAGGCTATTATAAAATAATGTTTGTGGTATGCTAAATATTAGGAAGAGTGTGCGTCTAATGAAATTTTATGAATGAAAATACTTTATTTTAATAGCTTATACGGGTATGACGTAAAAAATATTTTTTTTTTATAAAAATTCTTCAATGATAGCTTATAAGACAGTTATCTCTTCAGATTCTTTGTTAGTCAACGAATTCGATCCAAGCTGCTGGAACGTTCGAAATGTCTTATAAAACAAGATTTCTTACTAAAAAAATTTAGGCAATTATGAAAACAAGCTTAAGTATATTATTCTTTGAATTCCTTCATTGTTGCATTTTTGGTAAATATTATCTATTATCTATATCTGTATCTATAATACAGAATCAATTACTTCGCACACTCTTTTCTCAAAATATGCCTTATTTGTTGGAGGAAGAAATACAACACTCCAAGTAATCAATTAGACATAAAATAAACACGTCAATTTATGATATGGCTGAAATAAACGGTTGTCGTTTGATATGAATTGGAAAAGTAGAAAATGTAAAAAGTAAATATGAGAAAAAGTAAGAGAAGTAAGTCAGATTACGGTAACCTATAAGTACGCAAAAAATATTTTCTGCTGTAAATTCTTCATTTTCCATTCTCATTACAAATTGTTTGAAGATTTTGATAATTCTCGTATGTAACCCTATTCTAGTTCAATGCAATTCTAAGCATCAGTGAAAATATTTTTAATTCACTAAGTGAATTAAAAAAATAATAATCAAGAAAAAACGATTGCACCGGTTGCTATAATATCCTTCAAAAACACAAAAAGATTCGTTACGAGAACTTCATTTTGATACTAGGCAATAATCCAGGCCAAATTTCGTTAAGATATCTAGTCAAATGAAAAAGTTTCCAATGCAAGTACTTGATTCCGAATGTTCAGGTTGTATGGCAGCTATATGCTATAGTGATCCGATATCGGCAGTTCCAACATATGAGCAGCTTCTTAGGGAGAAACGTGCGGAAGTTCAGATCGATACCTCGAAAACTGATGAAAAAAAGGATCAGTGAAAGATGATTTTAATTCACTGAGAGATATTGAAACAGGTTTTGTCGAGAGATTGTTCGTAATTTGAACTCATGATAGCAGGAAAATTGTTTAATTGATTGGCTGTCAATCAATGCTGAATTAATAAAATTCTCAGACAATACAATTTAAACCACTCTTTTTAATAATCATGTATTAATAACACATTTCAAATTATTCTTCAAACATATTTAATAATAATGTATTTCTTAAAAAATTATCTTTTTTTTTAGAAATATTCAAATATTATAGAATTGCTTTCTAATTACAATACTAAACTAATTTTGAATAATATGAATTTGTATTTTGACTTCATACATATACTTGTAAGTAGTATATATTCATAATTTGATGAGACATTTTATCCATTGATACGAGCGCACTCACATTAAAATCTTAATTAATCGCTTAGCAAAACTCTTCGCAGCCCAGTGTGGAAGATATTTTTATAAATAATAATTTTTTTTTTGTTGAATTACACATTCCTCAAATATAACTTATACGGTTTGTAGTTGTATGATGGCATTGCGGAGCAGGAGCAATTGATGTTTCTACGAGACCGATTGAGAGCCGTCGACATAAACGAGGAAAGTAGCTCAAAGCAGAACCAAAGACGTTAAAATTTTTAAATAAATATTTGAAACAAGAAATATAACTTTTTGTTAATATTTTTATTGTTGTTTTGATTTCCTCTTAACGTCGGTTTAAAGGTAACCGTATTATGCGATTTCTCTTTTTTAAGCGGAATACAAAGGGGACGACTGCGAGAACGTGAACACAATTATTAGTAACCATAGTATTTTATTCGTGCGATTTATAATTAATTTTTATTTATAAATAGTGCCGAGGACCTAAAATATATTCCACACATCTGCATAAATGCACACATGCAAAGAAAAAATATAATAAATAGTATCAGCAAAATTAATAAATTTTTTTAGAGAATTTTCAAGAAAGTTTTTTACGAAAACAACAAAAGTGAAGAAAAAAAAACAACAACTATTGGGAATTGTATATTAAATGTGCTTGCATTTATCGTATTCGCAGATTGTGGTGCACAAATCTAATAGGCGCTCTTCACGCTTTGCGCTTAATCAGCACTTATGAAACAGAAATTATGGATTATATATACATATATTTTTATCATATTTTAATGTATTTTTCTATTTACAAATTTTTTTTCTGATATTATATTTTTTTCTATATTTTATTTTCGTTTAATTTTTATTATTTTTTCTCCTACTGCAATTTGTTTTATACAATTTTTATATATTTATTTTCACAATCTTTATAACAGTTCCACACGACAGAATAGCGAACCGTTGCACCACATATTACATTACATTTAAATAAATTATTTTTATTTTTTGTTGTATTTTACATTTTTAGCTACCCCATATAACAGAACGCTCACATATGTTTGCCGACGAATTGTCCGATGGCGACCCGCGAAACAACGCACTCGAACTAATTGTAATGAGTGCAGTGGTAATTCACGGTAGCTCGACGTCGTCTCTTCTATGAGTACCTAATGTAATGTGATGAGTCGTAAGGCCGTTGTCGTACTAATGCGCGCTACACCAGCGATAGCAGGGTCTATAATTGCGTTATAGAGAAGACGTGCTTTCACTGAACTGATGCAATTTTGATTGTGTTCTTAACTTCTGCAAAAATTGTGGGTAGAGAGGGAGACAATTTACCCATTTGTACGACTATTTCAGGATTTGACGCTCAAGAGTTTTTTTTTTAACTTTGAAATATTTTAGAGCCTACCTTGGCTGTAGAAGGAAACCTCAAAAATTTTTCCAAAAAATTTGCACTAATAAAGATATGGTTTTCTTGAAATTTGGAAGACATATTTTTTACTTACAGACTTATTGAATTTCGTTGAGTGAAACCAGCACCGCTGCCTCGGTACTCTTTGGTGCTCATTTACTCGCGGTCTCTCCGCCACTGCAGTATGTGCTTCGCCTTATCATAGCGATCATACTAGTAGTGTAGGGAACTCTGTGTGCCACAATGCCTTTTAGTAAATTCATATTGACTTTACATTTACAATTTGTTTTACTCAATACTTTTGATTTAGAAATGATGTTTTTGATTGGAGTGAAAGACCTGAGTGAAAACAAATTTTAAGAGAACCCTTTTTATTTTTAAATACACAACAATATTATGCAGTTATTTATACAAGTTTAGATGTTTGTTAGTGAGTGAAATTGCATTCAAAAGCATACTTCTAGAGTCTAGACAAGCATACAGTCCATAAACATTATTTTTCTGGTTTATATAAAAATAAGCCTGTTTCACAATGCAGAAGCACTTTTTTTTGTAATTTTTATAATACGTATGTGGGACATAGGCATTGATATTCCACACAATTAGTGGAGTGGGGGGTTCCTACTTGACTACCAACCGATTATTTATGTATAGGTAGATAGAATAGATGATAAAATTTTATTGTATTGAAATTTTGTTTACGTTAAAACGCTCTCGCTTTTTTTTAACAGCATTACATTTTGATGGTATTTTAAAAATAATTTTGTGGTAGAAACGCTAGCGAAACACGTGTTCTTTAATAATGAGCTCTGTGGCTTTTTACCGACGTCCAACTTAAGGGCGTTGCGTATTTTTTGTATATATAATTCGGATACTGTTCTCAGTTGATCTGAATATTGGTAATTGTCTATATAAGGAGTATTCGGCTATTCACCGAGCAGAATCTCGGTTGCCGAACTAAATATAGTTCTCATATAAAATAAGAGGATATATTTTAATAGTCTTAACAAAATTATTTTTAAATAATTAAAAGTCAATCCATAGTTTTTCAAGCGATTTTCATTTATTTTAAAAATGAAAATTTGGAGGAAAATCTCAAACTTTAATGGGATCTGAAAGATGTTTTTTTGTCAATTAAATCTTTGAATTACTGTGAGTGACTAAGCTTTCCTTACATTCAACAATCGCGATATATTCTTTTAAAAATCATGAACTATATTTATTAATATCTACTGCTATTCTAAGTAAGAACCTAAAAATAAATCTAGAATTTTTTATATATAAAATGGTATTTTAAACATCCGAGGTACAACGACATACAAATTACGTATTGTGTCTATCTGATATCCTCAACTTTTGAAATTTTGGTGAAGTTGCAGTATCAAAAGTATGATTTAGACAGAGGCTTCAAGATACATACACATGTGGTTAAAGGGACCCTAACAAACTAACGAACACTAGTCATCTTTCTTGAGACTAGAAATAGGTACAGCAATGATCGTTTGGTATATATGGTAACGATTTCTTACTGATTTTAAGGGAAGATAATATAATAAGGCATAATTGTGATCAAACTGCAACTATTGTACACTTAAATATATCTACCTAAGCGAAACAACTACAGTCAAGAAAATCAGGGTTACTTTTTATTCATCAAGAATTTACTCAAATTATAAAAGTGTTTGAAAAGCATCGTAGGCTCTTAAATCGCTGCAAATATCTCTCCATATTCTCTCTCATTTACAATAGTAACTTATGTTGAATTCCCTAAAGTTCAAGCCGATCCAATTATACATTATAAAATGCAATACAAATTAATCAAACTCATTCAAATTATGGCATAAAAATATTCGTGAAACCAATCTAAAAATCTATTTCTTTGACTCCGTCTGTGCCGAATTACACTAAAGCAGAGAACGTATATGATATAAGTTCTTTGACTAAAGTGCTTGCAAAACTTTCAAAAACTCATACCTTAGGAATGTCAGCAGTTGCATACATATGTAATAAAGAAACTCATCCGACTATATTTTTTGCCTTTTTGAAAAGAAAAATTGCTAAAAAAAGCTATTTTTAGTGTTTTTCGAAGTGTGTAAAACTGAAGTTAACTGTATTTTAAACATATTCATTCCTGTTTATATGGGTTGTATATGGTTTTAAGATTTATCAACTAACTAAAGAATGAGCCACAAAGTCTGCTGTAAAGACAATTCGATAATTTCAAAGAAGTGAAATAAAAAAAAAAATAAAAATCCAATTTAGATCTAGAAAAAGTGAAACGATTTTTTCACAGCAAATCAATTGAAGTGCAAATGTCAAAAAAAAGCAAAACTAAAAACAAAACAATAGTGAAGTGCCGTTAGAGTCGTAAAAATATAACGTTCCACATTACGCGCCACATTCCCAGTGATATCAGCGTTTTCAAAAGAGTGTTCCCAAAACCAATAATTATTTGGATAGTATTTATGCATTGGCCCATAAAGACATTGCCATGAAAAGGAAACTCTTAGCCAGGATTTATAAACTGAATTTATCAGCGAAGTGCGTTAGTTTGCTCGGTCTATTATTTTTACTCATTTGCATGGCCTCCAGTGACAAAGATGTCCAATCATTTCCCGCCCGAAAAAAACCAGATATTCAACAATTTCCAGCGCCAAAATCACCAAAGCCGCCGCCAGAAGAAGCAGAAACACCTAACCCTTTGGCTTCTACAGATAGAGAGGTTCTAAACAACCGGGATGTTCAACCTATGCCAAACCCGGCGCCAAAAGAAGTAGAAACACCTCCACCGTTGCCTTCTACGGATAAAGAGGTGCCAAAAGATCTAGATGTTCAACCTGTGCCAAACCTGCCACCAAAAGAAGTAGAAACACCTCCACCGTTGCCTTCTACGGATAAAGAGGCGCCAAAAGATCCAGATGTTCAACCTGCGCTAAACCCGCAACCAAAAGAAGTAGAAACACCTCCACCATTGCCTTTTACAGATAGAGAGGCGCCAAAAGATCCAGATGTTCAGCCTGCGCCAAACCCGCCACCAAAAGAAGTAGAAACACCTCCACCGTTGGCTTCTACAGATACAGAGGCGCCAAAAAATATAAATGTTCTACCCACAGCAAAGTCATTGCCAGATGAAAATGATATTATACCGTTAGAAGCACCTCAACCGAAAGAAATTGTACCCATATTTACACCTGCAGCGCCAAAGTCGAAAGCACCTCAAGCGTCTAATCGTACAATAGCAGACCAAAATCAACGATACGAGGATGAAAGTCATGTTGATATGATATGCAAAGATGGACTCATCTTACGAGCTTGGCGTCCTTTGACGGGTATATCACAAGAAGAACGTATACTTCGTGGCATAGTTTACTTTCTTGCAATGCTTTATTTATTTATTGGAGTGGCCATTGTATCGAACCGTTTTATGGAGGGTATTGAGGTGATCACATCTAGTGAGAGACGTGTAACCGTACTCAATAGACATGGTCAGAGAGAAACCATAACAGTACATGTATGGAATGAGACTGTAGCTAATTTGACGCTAATGGCTTTAGGATCGAGTGCACCAGAAATTTTACTTTCCATAATCGAAATGTTTCAGAAGGATTTTGAAGCCGGTGACATAGGTCCAGGTACGATCGTCGGCTCGGCAGCATATAACTTATTTATCATTATTGGCATTTGTATAGTCGTCATACCGAAAGGTCAAGTGCGCAGAATACAGCACTTTCGCGTATTTGTGGTGACAGCTACTTGGTCGGTATTTGCATATGTGTGGATGTGTATCATAACAAAGTATGTAACACCGCACATTGTCGACATATGGGAGGCTTTAGTAACATTGATATCCTTTCCGATTTTCGTTTATCATTCTTATATCACGGAACGACGTCTTTTCTGTCCGAGATGTTACAAACAAACGTACGATGTTAATCAACGGAACGTTGTGATGAGCTCGATCGACACGACCGAACGGGACTCGGAACCGATACGTTCGAGTATTAAAGATTTAATTGAGACGCCGGAAATGCGTGAATTCGAGGAACAACGCCGTGAATACATCACCAAACTGAAGGAATTATATCGCAGACATCCGCAATATGATTTGGAAAAGATTCAGGCAATGGCACAAGAGCATTTAATACGCGTGAGCAGGAAGTCGAGAGCTTTCTATCGTATACATTCGGGACGTCGCTTAACCGGTGCCGGTGGTGTGTTAAGAAAAGCACGTGATTATGCAGCTGTGGAAATTGGTCAAGCAAAAGCCGTATATCGTTTGCAAGTGAAAGAGGAGGAGCCAGAGATTGATGAAGATTTTGAGACACGTTTGTATTTTGAACCCTGTCATTATACAGTCTTGGAAAGTGTTGGCGATGTGGAGCTATATGTGATTCGTGCGGGTAGTTTAGCAAAATTCACCAAAGTCGAATACTACACCGTAGATGGCACAGCCGAAGCTGGCTCAGATTATATTCCCGTAAGTGGTGTACTCGAATTTCCACCGGGTATTGAAGTGCAAATAATAAAAATATCTATTGTTGATGACGATATTTTCGAAGAAGACGAACATTTTTATGTCCATCTCAAGAATCCCAGCGATGATGCTGTAATCATCACACCCAAAGTAGCGACCATCATGATTTTAGACGATGATCATTGTGGCATTTTCGAATTCAAAGACAAAGAACATATTATACCCGAAAATGTGGGCATTTACGAAGTGAAAGTGAAACGTTATTCGGGCGTTCGTTGCAAAATTATTCTACCTTATTACACCAAAGCGAAAACCGCAACATCGGGAAAGGAATATATGGATGTGAAAGGAGAACTGGTATTTGAAAATGGGGTACATGAGTAAGTAAATTACTTATATACATATATATAGAAATATGCATGGAGATTTGGTATTTTTGTACTGTCGCAGGCTTTCTATAGAAATCGAAATCATTGAAGAGCACTGCTTTGAAAAGAATGTTTTCTTCGAAGTGTACCTTGGTCAACCAAGAGTATCAGAAGGTAAGTGCACACACAAGTATGTATATTGCTTTACAACTAAGTATTACATGATAGTATATACAATATGTTGACTAGTTTAATCAACTCTAAACTTAAAATCCTACTGTTTTTACAACACTTATAATCGCATTTTGACTTGTTCAAATTTGGTATAACCTCTATGTTTTTGATTTTGACGCCACCGTGTTTACAACACACGATTCGAACAAACATTATCTCTTCTTTAACTCACTGCTTTTGTCATTTTACCATCATTTACACTTGCTCCATACAGTTGCTGATGATTGATGGTTTGATATGTGATAATAAATCGGGATCATGTTAATATTTAACTGTAAATCGTCTTATGATATAATATAGTGTTGTAAGCGGAACGAATTTGTTTTAATTATAAACGTTTCTTTAAAATAGAATACTATATATTATAGTCGTTTGCCTTAAATATTAAAAGGTTACGATTTAAGTAATAAAGCTCTCAGTACTACTGAAACTTTTTCACTTGAACTTAGAGCACTTACACTCGAATTATAACTTTTATTGCCGGTAGTTTGATTACTAAATATTAACTGTATTCACTTAATTTTAACAGATGATCCACTCCTTCTTCGAGTACGAGAGGTTCAACAAAAGCCTAAGGATGAAAGAACTTTTCGAGATAATATTCTTTTGGCAGGTCTTCCGAAATTGGCAGATATATCAAAAATACAATGTCGCATTACAGAAAGTGAAGAATTCAAAGTAAGCTATCATTTGAGAGGCAGAAACTACATATAACAAGAAGTGTATATAGTATAATATTATATAACATGTTCTATTTTATAGCAAACAGTTAACAGGCTGGTTCAAACAGCGAATGCGTCAAAGCTGATTGGTACCACCTCGTGGAAGGAGCAATTTTTGGACGCCATGACAGTTTCAGGTTTAAATCAATTCATTCAATTTCATTGAATATATTACTTTTATTAGTTTTTATTTCCCGTTCTCAGGTGGTGGAGGACTATACGTAGACGATGCTGATGATGATATTGAATATGAGGAAGATGAGGACGAGGACAATACTGGACCCAGCGGATGCGAATATTTTATGCATTTTTTGTCGATTTTTTGGAAAATCTGTTTTTCTATAATACCACCAGCTAGTAAGTTGTAGCTGAATCGCTAACATTACCCTCGCTCACGAGCAATGAAGCAGTGTGCTTCATACACTCTCCGATTTATAGTTATTTTATAAATCGGTTTCGACGAATAAATTGTTTTCTAGCTTCTTTTTTACACCTTCCAACGGTTGGTAAGGCTGATTGGTTTGAAAATCTAGGCACTTTAGTTTCACTATAAGTATACTTTGAGCAGGTTGGATATCTTCCTTCGGTTTATTAGGTTTTTAAGCCTGACATGAGTTTGGTGATTTTGGTCAACTACCAGTAGCACTTGCGCATTCGGAAGACTCTTCTGGCTCGAGGTAAATGGAGAGACACCTAGTTGGCTCTTTGCTCTCAGCAAGGTTTACCTTTCTCTGGTTGTTGAGGTTTTAATTCGTTATAGCCCAATAGGTTCTTAATTGAAAGTCTTACTAGATTCTAATTTTAGAAGTTGCTCGAAAGAAGACGAATGAGAATCATTTCTTGCCATTACATTCTCATTCTCTGTCATTACATTTTACATATTCAGGCTCATAAATAGACTAGCGGGAATTGAAATCAAATGATGTGATAGTTTCAAGACACTTTGTTAAAACATTAGATCCAACTAAACGAGTTTTCTGGCCTCAGTTAGGGCTATCCTTAACAGTCCGTATATGTTTCCTCTTTTTTTCGTTGGCGATCAGTCACATAACCTACGCATTAAGATCGAACAAAAAAGCCGAAAATGGCATTTTTATCGTGAAAAAATCGAGCTTACTTTGTTTTCGTACATTATATATAAAATAATTTAGCATTATTTTTGGTGTTATATTTTTAGAAATCTGGAATGGATATCCGTGTTTCATTATTTCGATCATCCTGATAACAATTTGTACTACCGTGCTCGTTGATGTTTCATCTCACTTCGGTTGCACATTGGGTGTACTAGATTCGGTTACAGCAATTTGTTTAGTAGCATTAGGCACCAGTTTACCAGGTAATAGATTAATAACAGCGGTATTTTTCTATGATTCGCTTTCTGAATTTTTTCACTACATATTTATTTATTATTTCATTTTGCCAGACACATTCGCCAGCAAAGTGGCGGCCATACATGACAAAACCGCCGACAATGCTATTGGCAATGTCACGGGCAGTAATGCGGTGAATGTGTTTCTTGGAATCGGTATAGCATGGTCTATGGCAGCCATATATCACGCTATGAACGGATCTAAATTTTATGTACCCGCGGGATCGTAAGTTAATAACACCACATTTGTAACAAAGTTCCGTTGAGATAATATATATAAATATATCTCAGTAGTTTAAGTCAAATTAAGTCAAGGGGCAAATTTTTGAGCTATTATGAAGAATATTTATGAAACCTGCTATTTTATTTTATCTTAATCAATTACCTGTAATCGAAAGTGCTGAAATAAGTGGAAAGATAGATAACAGACATTCACTAATTTTGAGTGGAAAGCAATGTGCCAACCTTTTCTCAGCTTGACTTATGCTATTTAACATATTGCCAAAGTTTTTTTTTATTTAATACTGTTGATACACTCGGCTGTACAATAAATAACACTTAATTGAAATTCTGTTAATTAAAATTTTGGCGATATTCTTAAGTAAATTATTCTTAATATTCCGAAAAAATTATGAGAAAGTCAATAACTCGTATAATGCAAGCTTTGACAAGCTTAAACTTTGAATTACACTCATCTACTAAATTACTAAAATTATATATTAACCAATTTTAATCTTTTAAATATTACTGCAGTGTGCTCTTTTCAACGGTGCTCTATCTAGGAGAAGCGATTATCGGGTTCGCGTTAATAGTCTATCGACGCAAGGAATCCATAGGCGGAGAGCTTGGTGGCCCAGTGGGAATTAAGTGGTTGCATGGCATTATGTTATTTTCACTTTGGTTTATTTATTTAGCAATTAGCACAGTGGAAGCATATGGCATTATTCCAGGTTTCTAAAAGGGTCACATAAAATTCTAATATACATACAGACAAACACCAATAGAATATAACTTAACTATGTGCATAAAACCGATGTACTGCTAACAAAAATAAGATTTTTTAGTTCTTACAAATACAAAGTTTATTTAATATAAACATGGAAATGTTATGACTTTTCCGTTGAATCTATATATGTATATATATGTATGTATATATAATATATACAATCATAACAAAATGTGCTATGGTAAACTGGTAACTGGTGGGTAAAAAATCGAGTTATTCCCAGATTTTGTCAAGTCGAAATGTACAAGTTTCAGAATATATGGTAATATTGTTCGCCACAGGAACGAGTCAGCGACTCACATAAGGCAGCGATGAATTCAAGCCTACACTTGGAAGAATATCGGCGGTAAATTAGAAATAACAGTGCTTATTTTCAGCTTGGGATAATTGAATCATTGGATAAGATTAATCATGTATTACAGTCTAAATTCCCAGACAAATTTTTGGCTATATCGATATTGACTAGATGTTAATGGTCTGAATAGTCTGTGTGTTCTTTTTTTTTTTTGACAAATACTCCATCTAGAGTAATATATTTGTATCATTTGTTCTGCTACGGTTAAATTGCAATTGAGAGTTTTAGTTTTCCTTTTTTTGGCCTTTGAATTTGGTTAAATTAAGTTATGAAAATAGGCTGATTTCTCTTGCAGCCAGGAATAATCCCATTTAAACTGCTAGAGACGCTTGTCCATTGTGATGTCCAGAACGCCTAGGTATGAATCAAAAAGACCGACGCATAGAAACAAAACGCCTAAAACCTGCCACAAATCTATTGAGGCTGCTGATATCAATGGAATAAGGAAGTAGCTTGATGCTACATCTAGTGAGGTTATGAACTTCTTTACTAGCTTTGAGCTTGTTGCGGGAAGCCTCCATTGACCTTTCGTAGTCCACACGCATTGCCTAACTCCGCCATGACTGTTCTGTCACAGAGAAGACAATACAAGTATATGAGATGCTTGAAGTGTGTTCCTATCCCAAACCTATCCAGAGCACTAATGACTGCTTTCGACCGCACATTGTTGAATGCTCCCTCAATGTAGAGGAACTTTCCCACCGCATATTTCTTATGCATGAGGACTCCCTTCAGCCATGACACAGCGGCGTGCAGAGCAGTGTCTACCAACATGCCTTTGTTGTGGGCATGCTAAGCCCCCAATATCACGTCTCTGGGTTGCTGCTTCTGATGTGAAGGTCCATAAGCTATTCCTGCGTCTTTAACAAAAACGAGGAGATGATAGTAGGCTTGATATCCTTGACATTCACATGAGAACTCTTACCGATCTTCGGAATAAACCCCAGCCTTACCTGTCTCCAAGCCCCATAGATAAGGCCTAATTTAACACAGTTCGCACAAATTGGGGCCAAACAGCTGCATGACATCTTTACCGTCCGCTGAAGTTGCGCAGGGATAGATTTTCCTTTTTTTACCACCTAATAAACCACATGTTCCTGACTAGGCTAAAAACTTTTTAGCACATTTTTGTAGAACAATTTTACTTTTACAAAATCTACATTAGAATTCGAAAGTATTTTTAATAAATACACCTATAAGGAGAGTTTAAAACACAAATTCTTTGTAAGATGACCTTTCCGATTACTAATTTCATCCAAAGAGAAAGACTAGGAATAATTCAAGTAATGATTACAAGAAAGATTTGTGTAGACCTGTATTTATGTATTTATTTGCTGTGCAGAAATTTATAAGGAATGAAGCAGATTGTTTTATAGCTTTGGCTGTTTGTTAAGTTAACAAAGAGTTCAGAAACTTGGTAATTGTACCCTGAACAATGTATATTAAGTCTGACACGAAGTTTGTAAAGCCAGAAGGTAACGTAAGGAGTTGCTTGTTATATTTGCTTACAAACTGAAAGATTGAAAACAAGAGTTTGCATGGAAAACTTTTTTATTTGACGAGATATATTCACGAAATTAGGCACTAATTATTGTTCAAGGCAACGCTACAATCTCCAAAAAAATTGTTCAGATCGGATCACTATAGCATTAAGCTGCTCTACTGACCGATAAAAATCAAAATAAAGATTTTCATAACAGTTATTTTTTCTTCATTGAGTAACTTTAATTTAACTTTTAAGGTTGTTTATATTAAACAATATAGTTCCTATATGTATTTGTGAAAAGTATTATATTTTCGGTGCAACCGAAGTTAACGTTTTTTCTTGTTTAAGTAGCGTTCTCTAAATAAACGGAATAATGATCTACGAAGTGACTGTGTGATGACTGAATGAGAAATTTCCATTTCCTGCTTTGTAAGAAGTGAATCCGGAAAATAAAGGGTGGAAGAAAAGAGGAAGAAGATGGCTGTAAGCTCATTTAAAAGCACAAAGGCTACAGTAGGCTTTTGGGACTAAATACTTATCGACCACTCTTGAATCTAATATTAAATCACAATTAAATTTTTTTTATAGCGGTAATTAAGGTCGTAAAATATTTTGCACAAAAAACGACCATTAACAACAATTTTCAAACTAAATAAGTACCGATGAAATAGAGAGCCTATAAGCAACCCAATTAGTTTAAGTATTCAATTGAACACACACATATATCTATTTATACATGTGTAGGTACTTCGAAATCATCGCCCATATTATTGCATTAATATTACATTCTCATTCAATGCACTTAGACTTCTATTAGACCAGACTAAATTTCATTATTTCTCCATGCCCGCGTTCTCGTGCATTCACTTTGTGCCAATGATGGATGTAAAAGTTGAATAAAGTAAAACGTTTTCCAAAAGGAATATGATTTTATTGAATTTTCTATTCGCGCGTGCGAATGCGTATATGTGTGCATGCAAGTGAGTGGCCATTTTTCTACGCTTCTGCGCGCCCTTTCATACAGTCAGGCCAATGCACAAATGCACAATTGATATCAATTGCAGACGTGGCTCCTGCCGAGCGAAAGAAAAATTGCAGAAAAACAGTTATAAATGCGTATTGTGCAATTGCAAGCCTTGCCAGAATGTGTAAGCAGCTGTCGCATGGAGAGTCCATTGCTGAGAGTCAATTGCTTTGTTGCGAATTGAAAACAATCAAAAAACGGTAATAGCAAATGTCTATTTCCGTTTGTGTGGCATTTTTTGCGCGCACTTTTATTCGGTTATGCAACACATATACATACATATATGTTTTGGTTTTGCTTTTGGGGTGTGGTTACGAATATTTCGGTTGGTGATTTTCATTTTGGTTTCGGTTTTAAAGATTTCTTTAAATATTTAGTACACTGGTAAACAAAATTAAACTTTTTTCTTTTATGAAGTTTCTAAACTTTTTCTTACTAATTTGACGTCGCTTATTTCTAATCTACCCTCAGTTTCTTTCTAGCAACTTTAGTTTTAGAGATACTGGTACTGCTTGAAATATCGTTACTCGGCCTACTGGAATTAAGTTTTAGGGCAAAAAATTACTAAATTGCATAAATAAACCGCCATGTCTACATTGAAAAGAACTTGTTTTAATGATCCGAATAGTTTTTGTGCTGCTTGTGGTGGCTATATGTTCAGAGAACGCCGTCTGTTTCTAAAAAAATGACAATTGTTATGAAGAAAATAAAATACATACATAGAACATAACTGACTGATATGCGTCGATCTTAAAATGGTAAATATTCTTTTGGAGCAGCAACGAGGATATACCAAATGCCCCTGTTCCATGTGCTTATGGGATAGCCAAACCAAGTCTGTTCTAAAAAAGGACTGGACAAAAAAAGTTTGGCCGAAATTGAAATTAAAATAAGCAATGGTAATTTTTAGACTCAAAATCAGAATTCAAAATTCATAAAATATTTTTTAATTTAAAAATTGGATTAGAAAATAAAAAATTATCTTTCTAGTCAAAAGCTGTAATAAAAAGGGATTTAAAGGACAGACTCACAAATTTCTAATTGAAACACTACAACTAAAACTAATTACATGTAAATAAGATAAAGAATGTTAAAATACCATCTGACCAAATTTGACCCGGACTGATAAAAAAAGCTACATTTTCACATTTTTATATCTTCTTCTAGCCTTCGAAATAAGAAACAAATTCAAGTCGCTTGATACAAATCTAACCTTGACATGCTTCACACCCAAAACATTAACCAAATTGTGTTTTTGATGCCAACACAGAGGTGAATGGTTGCAAGTTTTCGATGACTTCCCGGCATTCACTAAATGCTTTGTGCCACTCAAATACTTGTGTTCGTGATAAAGTAGACTCCCCGAAACACTTCTGCATTCCGTAGCCATGATTCCTTTGAAAACACAAAATTTCCATTAACTTGGTAAAAATCGACAGGCAAAATTTTCGCGTCGTAAACAAACAGCTGTCCAACACACACTAATTGACATATGGAGATCAAATTTCACATGAACTCTAAAAACGCTAAATATAATGTTAAATAAACTAAACTATGTAACTTGTTCAGGAAAGAAGTAGTGGTAAGCTCTTCTAGGATAGTTAAAAATTTGCAACGGAAAAAATTTAGAGATTTACAACACATAATCTTTACAACTGTTTTTTATGTTGAATTTTCTCAATTGTTAACTCCCCCATCACCCATAAACGTTATTCAGGCACCTATTTACCTCAATTATCAGTTCCTCCAGCAACAACTCGCACTTTTGCAAATCCAGTCTACAAATGTCTTACTTTATTGGTTTCTAACATTTTTTCGGCAGACATCCATTCATATCACACTTCTAGGGAAATAAAATTTAAGGACTCTCCCGCACACACAAGCAACTTGCAGCCATAACCCCACAACTCAAGCAATACCTCGAAGCGCTTCCACACGTACCGAAATTAAACAAAATGAATTAAACTGCGGCGCCGCAACGAAATAAGTGTTGCCTGCAGCGCTACGCACTACATACATAGACTGGGGCGGAGGGGGTAGACCAACGTTGCTGCTTTAATTACTCTTTGGTTGGGACGTGTGTACTGTGTACGCGCGCGGCAACCAAAGGCAAATTGACACACTGTTGTTGTGGCTGGTGTTGTTATTGCTGATGGCTATGCCATTTCGTTGCATGTTATTATTGCTTTAGTTGTTGTCGTGCTGCGCTAATTGCTGATTGCCGGCATGCAAT